GCAAAGTCTTCTGGTGGCTCAGGACTTGGTGTCACTATGGATGGCATCGACCCCCCTGCAGATGTTCTTTGTCACCACATAGCAGGAAGCAAGACCTGAGCCCACATCCCACTTAATGGGGTAATCCGGTCAATCTCAAATGATCTTTAAAAAAAAAATTGTTGGGTAGCAGTTTCCTCTGAGATTGAAACATTCCATTGCATCCTGCCGGGAACCTCCTTAAAAGCAAAAGCAAACAACTGAAAGGAACCTCCTTAAAACGTGTCTCGAAAAACCAAAAAAAAAAAAAAAAAAAAAAAAAAAAAAAAAAAAAGCAAAAGCAAACAACAGAAAAGAGCTTCAGGAAGTTCCTGAAACTGACCAGACTCATCAGGCCCCTCCCTCTGCATAGTAAACACTAAAGACTGCTGAGAGTCACTCTCAGACAGGCCAGGTTGAAAAGCAGACTCTCAGATCAGACAAGGTCCCTTGCAAGAAGTAGAGACCAGCTGAGCTGCCGATAAGAGGCTCAAACCAGCTGAGCCACCAGGGAAGGATACTCTCCAACTTGTTGAGCTGCCTGTGGGTTGCTCAGTGTCCCCAGGTCTCCAGGTCCCCAGATTTTTTTTTGTCACCCTTGCTGGGATAGGATTTGGTGATGCAGCTGTCTTTGAGTTATTTCTGCTCCTGTAAGTAAACCCCTCCCGCCCTCCCTCTCTCTCTCCCACTCCACCTCCTCTCTCTCTGCCTGCTGAAAGAGCCCACCTGTCTTGAGAGTAACTATTTCCTTCTCTAGGCGACTGCAATGTTCCCTCCTGTGGGCTCCACTGCCAGTGGCCTTCACATTCTGTGCATGGGAGCTACCTGAGACTCCACCCATGAGGGGATGATGAACAAGCTGGGGTGGAGCCTGAGATGCTGATGCTGTTAACAGGTCAAAGACACCAGTGTTCTTGACCATGCGCTGTTCTTGAGTAGAGCCAAGCTTTCTGTCACTTTGTGGTGTGATAGGCTGAGGACCTCTTTCACCTGGCTACACTGAGTTCTCTCAGTCTTCTTCCATATTGTTCTTTGCGTTTAGCCTCAAACCCCATGTTAAAGCGTTCCCAAAGTAAGAGGAGTCTTTGACCCCTTCCCACTATCCAAAGAGATCAGAGGAACCACTTCATTCTTCTGCTTAGGAAAACTGACCTAGAGCACCTGAAAAACTTGCCTGGAGGTTTTGGAGTTCTAGCAAACGTCTAGAACTAATTTCCAGGGGAAAGGATCTACATGCCCTTACCCATGATCTGTTTTCCAGTTCTGAGTCATTCCAGTAATGCTTTGTTGATTCTGCCGTAGTTCTTACCCAGCAGTCACTGGGAAAGGCGCATGGGTAGACACACTAAGCAGTGACGGTGAGTGTCCACCAATGAGCAAAATCTGGTGCTTCTCTGTAGGATGGTCCAACATGATAAAGAATTGTTTCCAGAAAGAAACTCACAGGAGATATCTATTGCTCATACAACCACGGAGATTATTCCCAGATCTCAGCTTAAATTTTCCGGTAGCAGAGATATAGCCAGCCAGTGGCTGCAAGCCTGTCGGGGGATCTAGGACACACCCTACTATTTCCCTGGTCTGGGAAGTTACTCCACCCCTTTATTATTTCTTCATCTTCAGGTAAGATGCTAATAAAAGTATCAATTTGATACATAGCAGAAAATAAATAAGAAAGTGTATATGTAGATTATATGATAAGCTTTGAATAACTACTGGCCATTTTACTGTGGGGTTTCACTCTATTTTTCTCTCTCCATCTTGCTCATTTTAAATGTAGGAGTTACCTAAAATGGTCCGATTAGTAATTGTCTCTTACCTAGACTAGGGTAACAAAAGCCATTTTGTCAAAAAAACAGATTCCATATGTAATATTTGGCTCAAGTGTCTGTTTTTTACCCAGTTTCCCATTTTGATATTCACAAGCACGTACACACACACAATCACACACACACACATACACACACACATCCTTATGCTTCACTGTACTGTAGTCCTCTAGCTATACAAGATACCACATCAGCAAAAATAGTGGTAGAAACAGGGGTCATATTACATGGTTTTTTTTTTTTTTTTTCTTTTCCTTAATAAATCTCAGCCAGAGTATTTCTCTGAAATATATGCTGTAAGCCTTCAATACCCTACCAGGAACTTACTTTAATTTTTCAGGAGCCCTATGCGGGTGCAGTATGTATTCAAAGGAAAAAAATGCTAAAGGAGAAAAGGGAAGTGGTAGCAGAGAATGAGCCCTTTCTCTAGAAAGCCCTTAGACATACAATGCATCCCCCTACACCCCACACGATGTGTGCTGTGACGCTCCTGTCTCCAAGGCCCCGTCTCAGCCCCATCAACTTTAGGCAGAACTCTGGGGTCCCATCTCTAGGGACTGTACCACACTACTGGGTCATGTTATAATTCTTGACCTCCATTCGTAGTGGACTGACCATACAATAAGATGCTGATGAAAGTATCAATTTGATACTTTCTGAGGCTCTCCTTAACCTGCCAAGTGCAGGGAAATTTGGAAACGTTTCCTGCCTTGAAGTACTTCACGCTGTCCACCACCTCCCACTCCTCCTTGCTCCTGACTGCCCTTGCGGTCCCCAGTTCCCAGTACTTTATTATTCAGAGCAGAAAGCACTGTTCTCCCCTTTCAGTCCACAGCTCTACCCATGGGAGAGAAGAGATCCATTAGTCACCCAAAAAGGACTTTGTTGAACCCACTTTAAATCAAAGTGCCTGTCACACCTGGGTAAATTCTGTTCTCTGGGAGAGTCATGACTTGCTGTTTCCACAGCAATCTTCCTTCTGTTTTCATTTGTCCTGCCTCCGACTTTGAGCCATACACAAGACCTCCACTCAAACTAAAACGGAAGTCTCCTGGAGTCCAAGATCTGTGCAGTAACCCGCCTCCTAGCTAGGCATCGGTGTGGTGCCTGGCACAAAAGTCCCTGAGAAGGAAGAAGGCTTGGGCATAGAGCCCTCTTCACAGCCTGCCTAACCACACCTTTGGCAAGCAGCGCCCCCAAATGTGGGTATTTCCAGCCTACTGCAAACTTATTGCCAGACCCTGCAGCGATCTGGGAGTTGGACTCGGCCAAGTGAGAAAGAAGACACTACACAGGCCTTGCCTTTTTTGCCACCATTGGATCATAAAAATGTGATGTCACTATTTAGCCCAAAGTGTTTTTATTATTAGATTCTTGAGACAGTCTTTTATTTTTCGGTAGCCATCCTTGCAATTATACTTTCAGGTTTCTCTGTAGCAACGATGGGGCTGGTACTGCCTTTATACCTGCATGCAGGGTGTTGGGTAGGATAATTATGCCACCTATTTAAAATAGAGAGGATATGGATTTGGAAAATACAGTCAAAAACATGGATTTAGTGTAGGGCTCAATTAGTCCCTAACCCTACATATCTGGATATTTTAAAAGAAACAAAATACTAAAGAACATTTTTTTTACTGTTTTAACCTCAAATATCATGTTTAATAAGCCTCAGTCCATTGCTAATTCTCAGCATATATTGCCATGAGAACTATGACAGAAATGCAGGTGTCAGAGTCCAAGACAGAATGTGGCACAGTGAAGGATGGCCATTCACTGACCCAGGCTGAGAAGACAAACCAGGCAAGAATTCCATTTTGAGATAAAAAAAGATCAAGGCTAATTCTGCCGGTAATCAGGCACCAACCAATCATTTCTTCATCTGGAGCTTGGTTTTCTCCAAGATGGATACTGGGGGCTGCTTCCATGTCTAATGGAGATACAGTGCTATCCTGGATCTATGGAAATAACTCACAGCTCACACTGAAACAAAGAAACAAAGCCACAGTGTTTCCTCGGGACTTGGAGATGAAACTAACATCATAAGAAACTAATTCAAGAATTGGCTTCCCATGTCGATACAGCTGTGAGAACAAGGGAGATGACTGTGTCTGTTCCCAGGTTGGGCTCCATCACTCAGTAAAATCCACAGTATTTTCTTACTGTCAAGTTTTATATATAACATTTATTATTATTATTATTATTATTACTATTTTATTATTTCTGTTAATAACCAACACAGGCCACTTTTTTTCATAGCACTTCCAATTATATAATGGTGTTTTCAAAGTTCATTTAAAAAAAAAAAAAATGAAGGCCTAGCAAGATGGCTCAGTAGGTAAAGATGCTTGCCACCAAGCTTGAGGACCTGAGTTCAATCCCTGGAACCCACATGGTAAGAGAGAGCTGACCCCCAGAAGGTATCCTCTGACCTCCAAATGTGCACCATGGTAGGCATGCATGTATTTTACACACACACACACACACACACACACACACACACACACACGAGAGAGAGAGAGAGAGAGAGAGAGAGAGAGAGAGAGAGAGAGAATAAATAAATAAATAAATAAATAATAAATGTAACAACTTTTTTTTTAAAAGAAAGTCTCCATAAATTAGTAATTTATGAAGGCAGTAATAATTCAGTCACTTCCTCACTTCGCAGAGGTGCGTTCCAGCCCGGAGTGAGGAGGAGACAGAAAACCTTCCTCATCTCTATGGGGTCAGAGCCCCTGAGGTTGTACGCAGGGTTGCTAGCAACCACTCCCACCCCGCGCTTCCTCCCCTGCAAATGTCCTTTAGCACTATGCAGCCAATCTCACTTGATGAATGAAAAACTGCTGGCCCAGGATCCCGGCCCTTGTGACCGGCCCTGAGTCTCGTCCAGGTTCCACATTTAGTGTGACGCAGATTGGGACAATTCCTAATCACCTCTGAAAATATGTTCTACGTGCTCCATAAATACCACCGCCAGACACACTCCAAAATTAAATCCCCGCCTCATTTGTTTTCTGAACACCTGCTCCTCAACTGAGCAACTGTTGAGTAAAGCCTTTCCAGGCCCGGCCTCTCCTGGGGAGACGCTGGCCACAGGAACCACATGGGGGGACTGCCTTCCAGGCCAGAGCAACACAGGGCAAGCAGCCTTACATTGAGTTCCGTGCTTGGATAAGGTCCGAGGTCGACAGGTGTTTGGACGCCACAGTGAACGACATTACAGCGCCATCCTTGTTACCACGGTGATCGCACTGCCTTCCTTGATTTCTAATTAGATTTTCTTCCATTCTGCTTAAAACGCAGGGCTACAGACGGTGGGCGCCAGGTCAGAGGCAGCCAGACCTGTCAGAAAACACAGAAACTGGCCTGTGATCAAAGGCACGGGCTTCAAAGACTGATGGTCTGCCCCCCCCCCCCCCCCCCCCGCCGCCCCGTAGGGGAGGAAGGAAAGGGAATGACTGTACCTTGAAGCCCTTTATCCTAAAGATTCTCAAGTCAAATCCAGTGTCTCGAGCACAAAAACATGTGGGCCCTGGGACCCATTTCTACCAACAAACCCAAGAGCATCATATTTTCTGTCAAACAGAAATAAGAACTCCTAAAACAAATTTAAAAAAAAAAAAAATGTAAAGTGGCCGGGCGGTGGTGGCGCACGCCTTTAATCCCAGCACTCGGGAGGCAGAGCCAGGCGGATCTCTGTGAGTTCGAGGCCAGCCTGGGCTACCAAGTGAGTCCCAGGAAAGGCACAAAGCTACACAGAGAAACCCTGTCTCGAAAAACCAAAAAAAAAATAAAAAAAAAAAAAAAAGTAAAGTGGTTGTGAAGGAACTCCAGGGTCCTCACACACATGAATACAGAGGGGGCTAAGGAGAATGTAGCTGCCCCGTGGGTGTTGGTGGCACACACCTTTAACCCCAGCACTGGAAGGCAGAGGCCAGCCTGGTCGACAGGGCAAGTTCTAGGACAGCCAGGGCTACCCAGAGAAACCCTGTCTTGAAAAGAAGAAGGGGGGCGGGGGGAAGGGAGGAGAAGGCAGGAAGGAGGAAGAAGAGGAGGAAGGAGAAGAACTTAGCTTTTGAGCTCACCTTTGAATTCCTGGTGTCTAGTTTGGTCAGCCTTTGATCATTTCTGAAGCTCCCTGAGTGGCAGTGACCTCACTTACACAGGACAGACAGCAGGCCATGATCCCACAGTATTGTTGGCATCTGTAAAATTCTGTGAACTGTCTTCCACTTCTCGAATCTGCGTTAGTGAATAACAAAGTCCCAGAGGTAAAAAGTGGCGAAGAATCAGGTTTTATGTCCCATCACACTTACCCGCTCTTCCTAGTTCAGTGGAGAATATGCCGGACCAAAGACCTAAGAGCCCCTTCAGCGAGCGCCTGTGAAGAAGAAATATGTAGAAATAGCAACTAGAAAGTTTCGGGGAGCCCAGAATTAGTAAATGGACCCTTTTCATGGCCAAGCTCTTCTGATTTTAGAAACTACGGGGCTATTTCCCACTGGCATTAAAGAGGTAGGATAAGGAGCATTTGAGTCTTCCTACCAAGTTATTTAACTCTCCTTGAAGCCTAGAAACTGTGGAACATATGACAAGGACCACCAGAAGTGTCTTGCTTGGACCATCGCAAGTATGGAACTTGCCTCCCCTCCTGGCCATCATCATGCTAAACATATGTCTCAACAAGAGTGCTGTTAGTTCATGGCTGGAGACGTGGGTTAGCAGTCCAGCGTAATTCTGAGATGAGGAAAGAACTCTATACACACACACACACACACACACACACACACACACACACACACACACGGTCATTACTTAACACAGATGAATTACACAGTGCGGCTCGGGGGACATAGGAGGTGATATTACTTTAAAAATAATAACAACCCGGAACACAGAGGCGCTAACAAAGGCAAGGAAGTGGCGGCCACAGAAGGCAGGATGGGGATACCTCGAGGGGTGTCGAGGAAGTGGTCTGGAAGGTAAACAAAGGAGGGGCTTCTGGGCTGGCCCTGTTTCATTTCTTGATGGAGGGTGTCTGCTTGGTAATTATTTCTTGCACATGTATTTATTTATGCTGGCTGTTTGTATATTTGATTTCATAATTTTCAAAGACAAAACCAGAACAGTAGCCTCTCCCAGCATTGAGAAAAACAACACCTCGATACAGATCTTAGTGCTGGGTATTCAGATGGTACCTTCCTTAGACGATGTCTGCTCCTCCGCTCCCCCGCCCCCATACATTGTTATTCTGGAAGGTGGATTTTGTTGTTGTTTTTGTTTCTTGAGACAGGGTTTCTCTGTGTAGCCTTGGCTGTCCTGGAACTTGACCTGTAGACCAGGCTTTGCCTCTCAAGTGTTGGGTTTTTTTCAAGACAGGGTTTCTCTGTGAAACAGTCCTGGCTGTCCTGGATCTCTCTCTGTAGACCAGGTTGACCTCGAACTCACAGAGATCCACCTGCCTCTGCCTCCAGGGTGCTGGGATTAAAGGCATGCACCACCACTACCTGGCTGGAAGGTGGATTTTTAAGGAGCCATGACTATACCTCCCTTAATAGTTTAGTTCAAACAACATATTAATGAATATTTTACTTCATTTTGTATGTATATGTGTACCCATGTACACACATAAGTGTTTCTGTGTTCGTGTGTGTGTGTGTGTGTGTGTGTGTGTGTGTGTGTGTGTAAAGCCAAAATCATCCTCAGGTATCATTCCTCAGGTACCATCCACCTTGTTATTGCTATTTCTAAGATTTAATTTTAATTATGTGAGTGTGTATCTGTGCATAGGTGTGTTCAAATGTGGGGTAGGTGCCTGGAGAGACCAGAATAGGGTGTCAGATGCCCTGGAACTGAAGTTATAGGCAATTATGAAGCACCTCAAGTCAGTGCTGAGACCCAAACTTAAGTCCTTGGCAAGAGCAATGCATGCTCTCAAGCATGGGGCCGTCTCTCCGGCCCCATCTTGTTTTACGGGACAAAGTTTCTCATTGGCCTGTAGCTTACAGATTAGACTAGGCTGGCTCTCTAGTCTCGGGGATCGCCTTTTCTCTGTCTCTTGGCACTGAGATTACAAGCATGTGCCAGCCAGCACATCTGGGCTTTTTTTGGGAGGGGTGGGGTAGGGGTGGGGGGACAGGTTGAGACAGGGTTTCCCTGTGTAGTCCTGGCTGTCCAGGAATTCACTCTGTAGACCAGGCTGGCCTCGAACATAGAAGTTCACCTGCCTCTGCCTCCTGAGTGCTGGATTAAAGGCGTGTGCCACCACCACCCAGCTACATCTGTTTGTTTGTTTGTTTGTTTTGTTTTGTTTTTATTTGGTGTACGTTCTGGGGATTGAACTTAGATCCTTATGCTAGTGTGACATACACTTGACTCATTGAACTAGTCCTCTAGCCCCTGGAAAGTATTTTAATATGAGAGCATACCTGGGGTCTCTTTTACATGTCCAATAATTCTGGAGTCAGAAATGAAAGAGACAACACAAGATAATAAGAAAGTTCTCCACGCAGACAGGCTGCCTTCACAAATCAAAGAAAAGGGGCGCAGACAGGCGTATGAAACCACAGGAGGAAAACACAAAATTGTAAGGCGCTCTTCAGAACGCTGTTGTCCAAACTGGGGCCACAGTAGAGCCTTGGGAGCTCCCATCCCCCCTATTTGGGCATCTTGAGTGACTCATCTGGAAAGCTATCCACTGCGTGCAGCAAAGAGGAAATGAATCATGGAAGTTTCTGACCTTCGCCCTTGTCATTCTGCGCAGGGAAACCACCCACAGATGCTGGAGAAGGGGCCGTCAAACAAGGCACACACAGAAATGATGTACATTCATCATCGGCGGGGAGAGCTGGAGACTCGGGTCAGGAGAGGCGAGCTCCGGGGTTGCAAATACAAACACTCATTTTATGATACAGAAAACAGAGCCTATAGGCGGGCACAGACCACAGTTCTGAGCGGCCCAGTGTCCTGATGTCTTGGGCAGTAATCTGAACTTCTCACACTCCTAGCTGGGGTGGGAATGGGGGCAGCTCCGAGGAGAACAGTGACCTTTGCATTTCCATCTCCCATCTGGCATTTTGAGAATTTGCTTGGCTTGCTCAGAGGAAGTCCACTGAACTAATGCCAACTTGCAAGTGGGAAGGCATCTGACAAGAGTGATTCACGGGCTCAGAAGAAGGAATCCCAGGGCCTTTCCTCTGAAAAGGCCAAGAGCTTCCAGTAACCAGGCAGGGGCATTAATGCCATCTCAAGAGGAATCCAACACGTGCCGTGGTGATTGGAGCCCTAAACAAAAGCAGAATGAATGTCTTCCAGATGGTATTAGGAAAGCTAAATACGGTTCGTCCAAAAAGCACAGACCGAGCACAAGAGTACACACAAGAGTGAAGACCAAAAGGATAATCTTTAAATCGTTACTTCATAGCTTGTGTGCCCCTCACTCACCTGCTCGAGTCCATTTCAGCCCCTGTGGAGGTGAGAGTGCTCAACTCCTCTGCGTCACACCGCAACTTGGACAATGGTTAGCTGAGTTAGAGTTCAGAAGTACTTCCCTCCCCCAGAGGTAGGTTGTGAATGTCACTTCTCATCTGGGTCTACAGATGGCAGCTCAGCTTCCTAAACTTAATAAAAGAAGACATCATCCTTCAGGAAACAGCATACAGACCTTTGTCTTCTTTGCTTCACCAGGACTAAGGACATGTCATGGTTACAGGAGCGGGAGTTGGGTGCTCATACGCCCCGCACAGCTCAGTTCACAGCCCTCTTCTGTGCTTGGTACAGGGGCACTGATGTTAGATGATGCTCTGGCCGTTTCTCAAAAAGGAAACCTGGACCTGACCTTAGATGCATTCTCTCTTCCATCCCCCCTCCCCTCTCTGGATACTTCTGCATTTCTTTTTCTTACTCCTCCAATAGCAGTCTACTAGCTTAAGGTAGAAAGCAGAGGTCATCAATTCCGGTAAGGCAAGTAGCGTTCATCAGTCTTCACCCTCAGCGTTTATCGCTGGGAATGGAAATTCTTCAGCCTCCTGTCCCAGTACAGAATCACAGTAGGCTCTTGTCAGCAACAGAGGTGCAGCTTCACAGTGACCCCCTTAGCAGCGTCAGGAGTTCCTTGACTCTCTCAGAGATCTCAACTCAGGCAAACCAAGATTCATGACTTTGATGCAGAAAAGAAGCCCAGAACAGGCCAATATGAGGCAGGATTGAGGTTTAATGAAGATATTTTATATTTTATTTGGGGTTTGGTTTGGTTTTGTTGTTAACGTTGTCTGTGGTTTTTTTTTTTTTTTTCAGGTTTTTTGAGACAGGGTTTCTCTGTGCAGCTTTGCGCCTTTCCTGGATCTCGCTCTGTAGACCAGGCTGGCCTCGAACTCACAAAGATCCGCCTGCCTCTACCTCCCAAGTGCTGGGATTAAAGGCGTGCGCCACCACCGCCCGGCCATTGTCTGTGTTTTTGAGACAGGGTTTTTTTGTGTAGCCTTGGCTGTCCTGGAATTTGCTCTGTAGACCAAGCTGGCCTCGAATTCAACAGAGAGCTGCCTGCCTCTCCCTCCTGAGTGCTGGGATTAAAGGCATGCTCCACCATCGCCTGACTGCTTTAATACAGACTTTAAGAGAGGGGACACTCAGAAGAAAAGACATATATAGCTTCTCAGAGAGGGAGTTGTACTTTATTTTCTTTACAATATTCATATATAGGATCTAGGGGATGGTTGAAGTTAGTGTCTTTGAAGAGTTGCTAAGAAACCCTAAGGGAGGTCACTCACTTGTGGTTCCTGAGGGGCACCTGTCGGGATGACAACTGATAAAGTAAAAGTCTAGAGCAGTGGTTCTCAACATTCCTAATGCTTTAATAGCATTTAATAGCAACATTTCCTTTAATACAGTTCCTCATGTTGTGGTGATCCCAACCATAAAATTATTTCATTGCTACTTCCTAACTAATTTTGCTACTGCTATGAATTGTAATGTAAATAAATATCTGATATGCAGGATATCTGATTAGCAACCCCTGTGAAAGAGTCTTTTGATCCCCCACCGTACCCAAAGGGATCACAACCTGCATGTTGAGAACCCCTGGTCTAGATCATAGGAATGCAGGAAGGCAGACTGTATTTACTGTAAACAAAGTTAAGGTTTTGTTTAAGATTCCCAGAAAATGTCCAGGGAAAGAAATGAGACTCTACCCAAGGTTATATACATTCAAGCTTTAAGTCCTGTTTATTGTTACTTTAAAATAAAATATCTGTGTACAAAGCAAATATTATTTCTAAACTGTTGACTTCAAGGTGAGGGGCTCCTTTCCCTCCCATTGACCTGAAAAAATTACCCTGTCTTTCTGTCCTGCCTCAGTCCTTGACTCACAGTTCAGAGACTTACATACAGTGGGTATTCAAGAAGACCAGTAACCCCTTCTACCTTCTATGACCCTACCCCATTTCTATCAATATTTTTCTAATAATGAAATAGTCTCTCTTTGCAATGATAGCCATTTTTAGAGGCTGGGGTGCTTGATAATATACACAAAGCCCTGGGTTCCATCACCAGCACTCTATAAACTGGGCATGGTGGCACATACTTGCAATCCAAGTACTCAGGAGCTAGAGGCAGGAGGTTTAGAAGTTCAAGGTCATGCTCCACTACATATCAAGTTCATAACAAACTGGAGTACATGAAACCCTGGCTCAAAAAAGAAAAACATTTTAAGTAACTATCATCACTTACTCAACACTTATCAGACATCAGGTTTTCTGCTGTTTTTTGTTTTTGTTTTTACAAGCATCTGTCTTTCTAATTTCATGGTAATCATATTAGATAAATACTATTTATATCCCTCCTAATAGATGGGCAATCGTGGGTTAGCTTACATAACTTGCCCCAAATCAATCCAATTAGTGGAGAAACCAGAGTTCAAGCCCAGAGCTATTCAACTTCAGTTCCAGGGACTGGAAGTAGATGTGGTAGTAATGGGTTTGTATATTTGTTGTAACCTCCATTTCTGTCCCTTTTCCTTGTTTCTGAGTACATAATAACCATAGTGGAACATAGATGGGCTCTCCATCGCGAGAGCCAAAGTTACATTTTAAGTGTTAATGGCTATGTCTAAGAGGTCCATGAAACAAAAATGCCTCTGATCTGCAAGCCCCTTGCCCAAGGACAGAGAGTTCCTGAAATGCTGGAGGCTATTGTTTGGGGTAGATAAGAAGCCACATGTTTTCACTCCCCTAAACAAGTTTGTTTGACCCATATGCACCGGATGTGCTTGATCACGTGTGGGTGGGAGGTTCACAGGCAGGAAGTACATCAGGATGTCTGCTTGCCCCTGATTGAACCTGATGGGAAATGTGAATTGTGAGTTTGGCCTTCTTAAGTCCCTGTAAAAACATGACTCAGGGCCATTTCCTGGAAACCCAGGTATAGACCTGACCAGAGCCCATCTATCTGGTCAGTATTTAATTAAAGCTTGCTTCAAATTTGGCTTTAAACTGTGGCAGTGGTCTTATTCTTGGCCAGTACAATTAACTCCATGTCATCTATACATTTTTTAAAAAAATTTCTTGCTTTTGTATAAGAGGTAAAAAAGGAAGAAAGACAGCAGCAAACCTTCTAGCAGCTTCTAGCCTATTTCCTTATTCTCCAATACGGGAAATGTGACCTTTGAATACAGATTGACCTTTCAAGTTTGACCAATAAAAGCTCCATCCAAAACACCTCATCAAAGCACACATTGAAAGGGGCCAGTTTAGCTCCGGTTCTCACTTAGAATTCATCTTCTGACCTTCTGTTGTGAACAGCAGTCAAGACAAGATCCCGCCTTCCACCGGCATTTTAACTTGAACAACCAATGAACAGTGTTTGCAACAGCCCCTAAAAGCATTAGGATTGTGACAGTCGCCATCTAGAAATCCCGAAGCATTCGACAGTCTGGGTTTAATAAGCCCATGCTCCCCATAGTGGGATGCTATGCAGTACAGTAGGTGTTTTTATTCAGGATGTCATTGTATTCACATCGGAGCAGCCAGGGCTGGGGTACAACACAGTGATCAGCACGGCACATCTTTGCAAAGAAGTTCACCCATATCCCATTCCCCACATGCCAGAAAAGGAAAAATCTCTGGGATATCTGGGAATGAAGAGCAGAGCTGGCCCTTCACTGGACACTCATGGGGCAGCATGCCAAGGTAAAGCCATTGTGACAGGCATAAAGAAAAGGCTGCCGTCTGACCCAGAGTTATTGCAAAACTGGAACCAAATGATTTGAACCCTCTAGGCCTCCTACATCCAGATGGCTGGATCAAGTGATCGCTCTGCAAACCAACACCACTGGGGAAGTCCAGAGGAACATTTGATAATCTCGACATAAACACTAATGGCGACTGTTCTGTATCTCACTCCACCGGAGGTCATGGACAACACAGAAAGGCGCCACAACGTGTCTAAACGAAGTTTCATTATTAAGAACGTATACAACTGCTTCCTGAATGAAACTGAAAACCCACCAGGAACTTAGTGAGCCTTGAGCAACCACCCCTTCTGAGCCTTATCAATAAGCGTCAGACTCAAATGCAAAACAAATTTCCCCACAGAACAAGTCATAAGAAATCCCAGGGGTGGGTGGGGCAGTAAGGCAAATAACCCAGCAAGAGAAGACCAAGGAGCGGCAGGAGGAGAGAACCCAGACGCTGACAGGAAATGAAGAAGGAAGCCGTGGGGAAATTCGAAAGTGCCTTGAGGAGAAGCCGGGTTTTAGTGGGCGGCAGAGAAGCATTGCTAACATCCTGCCCGCTGAGCTCTGAATGGAAGAACCAAGAGTCTGTTCAGATCCTGAGGAAAGGAAGGGCTCCTGCCCCCCACCCCACCCCCACCTCGGAGAAGGATGTGTGGAGCAGCCTCAGGCAGGACCAGCCTCTCTGACATCACAACCCTGAGCCAGTGGTGGCAATTGTGCACAGTAACACAATAAGGATTTATTTCGCTTCTCCATGGGAAGACTTTCTTCTCCTCTGAGGTAATCTGTAGCAAATGAAACTCCCACACGCTCTCGCTTTATGAGGAGAGGAGGGAGCAAGTACAGTTTAACCTTGCCACACCACCCGAGAGTGGGGGAAGGGAGCTGGCAGGGGTGGCATGGAGTGACTCAGCCAGTCCTTGACACCTGAGAGCCTGGAGAGGTAGCCTCCGGATCAGCTCTTCCACACACTGAGAGCTCTGGAGACCTGTCTGCCTTCAGATCCAAGAGATGAACAAGAGCCAACAGCTGCCCCTCACGGTCTCCTAAGATGGCCTCAGTCTCCCAGTGTTGGGTAAAGAACTTTACTTTCTTCCTAACGGCCGTACCTCCCATCCCTCATCCTAACTTTCTTTTTCTTTTTGACATGGATACAGTGGTGCAATTCCTAGCTTTTCTACGTAGAAAAACAAACAAACAAAAAAACCCATGAATTTCCAACTTGATGTTTCCACTTAGCTATTAAATATCTCTGACTTAGGACAAATGTGAGCATGTATTCTTCTGATATCTCCCACTACCACCAAATAAACAAACAAAAAACAAACAAACAAACAAAAAACCCCACTGACTGGCAATTCCATCCTTTTCCAAACTCAACTCTGCCTACGACACACACTCAGTCCACCAGAACATGCTACTGGCGTTCGTTTGGGAAATAACTAGACCACCTCATCTTAGCACCTCACCATCTCTCGCTCGGTATTGTGATAGCCCTTACCTGGTCTTCTTGCTTCTTCTCATGTTGTCCTCCAGACAACACAGACTTAGTGTTGTTGCTTCCCAACTTCAAGAACATGACATCTCAAACTCTCCAAGGATGTCACCTAGGGGGAAAGTTAAAGTTTTCCTTTGACTTTAGCTGAAAAGAACTTCTTTTGTGTGTTTGTGCTCATGCTCCAGCCCACCTGTAGAGGTCAGAAGAAAACTGGCCAGAACTAGTTCCTTCCTTCCATCACGTGAGTTGCAGGGATCGAAATGAGATCACTGGGCATGGGGGAAACATCTTTAGCCACTGAGCCATCTCACCAGCCCTCAAGTTCTTAAGATGGTCTAACAGGCCCTCCGAGTTCACTCCACCACTCTGGACCTCTCAGGCCTCAACTTCGTCTTTCCTGCTTCCTGCATCTGGCCCAGCCATTGGCCTCCTTTCAATCCCCTAACTCTGCTAGAGCTATCAAACTTTGCCAGGCTGAGGGGATGAGAAGACAAGACACTCTGTAAATTTTTAGTATAAACATGTTCTAAACATTACATGATGCTTATGCTAACCATTCTGGGCCAGAGTAGTGATGAATGCCTTTAATCCCAACACTTGAGAAGCAGAGGTGGATCTAAGTGAGTTCGAGGCCAGCCTGGTCTACACAGTAAGTTCCAGGACAGCCAGAGCTACAGAGTGAGATCCTGTCTTGAAAATAAATAAATAAAACAAGAAAAATAAACAATTCTGTATTGTTTATGGGATATTCATCTTTAACTTGGCTTACTGTATTTTATCTGGCAAGCCCCAGCCTCCCCCCACCTCTGGCCCTTTGGCATTAGACCTGTTTCTGCTGTGTGGAATACCCTTCTTACATTCATGTGATCTACACTTTCTTATCTGCTTAAATCATGTGGTCAAGCATTACCTTCTTAGTGGAAGACCAAAATCAGATTCCTGCTCCCTCTAAACATGTTTCTCCAAGCAGAAATTATCTATGTGTTCTGGAACTCGGCCAGCCAAGGGGTAGAAATAAACCCCACAAGGGCGGGATTGGGTTTCTGTCCATCTGCTGTGGATGTTGCTGTAAACTAGCACCTAGAGCATTATGTGATATAGCAAACCATCAATGAATCTTTGTTGAATGAATGAATAAACGGATGAGCAAGCCTCCTAGAGCTTTTGGTTAAATCTCTAACAACAAATTTTTCTGATTCAATGATTTTAATCTGTATTCTCTAACCATTTGGCAATTACTTCAAAGCAGAGTAGCTCCTCCATGAGTTCGAGACTGTTCTAGTCTACAAAGCAAGTTCCAGGACAACCACAGTGGGTTCACAGAGAAACCCCATCTTGAGAAACTAAAACAAACAAAACAAAACAAAACAAAACAAAAACAGAGTAACTCCAAATCAATCATCAGTTTTTGGTTACTGACAATAAGAATTGTCTCATTTGATACCAACTTTAAATATTTTAAACCTCAAACTTCATAAAAGGCATGATATTAACTTATTTAATGCATTTTTATGTACAAAATTCTTTCACTGCATGAATCTGTGTGAAGGCCTTGCATTTCATAGACTCAGATCTGAGGGCAACAGCTAGTTTTCACAATGGAAAAATTTGGGTCCCATGATAATAATTGTATTTGTGAAGACAGTAATGCTCAATCCAAAATAATTAAGCAAAGTCTGTAGGATATCCACCTGGCTCCAAACATCCTCTTTATTGTGATGAACAGTCTGTAAAATGGATCTGTAGAGGATAATTCCATGACGTCATATGTGTGCACAAATGTCTATTGGGTGTACATAGTTTTAAGAGACAAACTCCCTGCACCACATCCTGAATGAAGCAAACCCAATTAACTAACCGAACTGACGAATTATGATCACTGGTATATTTATCAATGCATAAGGAAAATGTGCGTTTCTCTTAGGGGTTTCTATCCAAACACAAGGAGAGTGTTCAGAATGAGAAACTCCAGGCCTCATCTCCGGTCATATGGGGGAAATGTTGTTTAGACGCTTAAATCATCCACACACCATAAGCCGGAGTGTGTGAGTGCCCCTGGGGAAAACTGGCTAACACAGAAACAAGTCTTAGCCTCAGCCTCAGCCTCAGCCTTGCACTGGAATCATCGGGGGGCGGTGATGAGCTCTGATCCTGTAGCTCAGCTTCCAATACAATTCGTTGGGTGGGGGTGTATCCCAGACCCCTGGATTTCCTTCAAAGCTCCCAAGATGAGTCTAATGAGCAGCCTGGACCGAAATTGCTATTTCTAAGACTAAAAATAAAAGGAGAATGCAGAGTGAAATAAGCAAGTCCCTTTCCGTTTCCAGGTTTTAGGATGGATCTCCTCTCCAGAATACAGTGAAGTAGAAGAGTTTGAAGGAGAGAAAAAAAAAAAAGAAGCCTCTCAGCTTTTTATCTAGAACCAATGTGTACTGTTGAAGGAAAAAAAATAATCCAGCTTTAATGTAAACAAAGAAAGCTTCAGTTCAGCTGCCCCGGGAAACTCCCCGGTTTGTCGCAAGGCTGTAGTGATTCTCACGCACCATCTCTGTGACAGAAATAAGAAGTGACAATGTGAGCTTTATTCACACCCAACACACCAGTCGACTTCAAAAGGAGAAAAAAAATCAACATTTACAGTTTAATTATTATTTATTCTCCGTATTCAAATCAGCTTTCTTTGACTCCCCTACCCCCCCCCCACCCTCACCCCACCAAATGCTTGGAGGGGGATTTAATTATTTGATCTAAAATTTATCCAAACAATAGAAAGTTATCATCATGACAGCAATGCTGAACTAAAATAATTAAACAAATGCCAAAGAAATTATATGGAGGATAATTGCTTTGGACATTTTTCAAAACCACTGTAAGATAAAACAATTCATGTCAAGGATAGTAATTTAGGAGTTAAAGGGACTAATTCCTGTTTCTTATTTAAAAATTCGGGGTGTATGGGAGGTGGGGGGTGGTGTGGGTGTGGGTGGATGGGTGAATGGGTGTATGGGTGTGGGTGGGTGGGTAGGTGTATGGGTGTATGGGTGTATGAGTGTGTGTGTGTGTGTGTGTGTGTGTGTGTGTGTGTGTGTGTGTGTGTGTGTGTGTTGTGCACATAAGCGAGGGCATTCTACAGCACGCCTGTAAAGGTCTGAGGACAACTTTCAGGAGTCCACTGTCTCCATCCGCCATGGTTCCCAGGATTGAACTCAGGTTGTCAGGCATTTATGGCAAATCCTTTTACCTGCAGAGCCGTCCCACTGGCCATTCTGTTTTGTTTCGTTTCGAGTTGCTGAGATGGGATTTCACTATGTGGCTTCGGCTGGCCAGCCTCAAGCTCAAGTTCCTCTTGCCTCTGCCGCCTGTGTGCTGGGACTACAGGCATGTACCACTATGAGGAACTAAGCCCTCAAAATCATAGCCCTTTTCAATTCCGAGTTCTCGACAGTCACACATGGGGTGGCACTCCCATAGTGGACAGTGCCAACAATGTCTGGACACTCAAGTGAGCCTCGTCCCAAAGGCTTCCTTTTTACTTTTTTTAGCAAAAATTTTCCAGCTGTGCCACACAGAGCCCGGGCTTCGTAACAAACGACACACTCTGAGGACTCTCGACCCCGTTCACATTTGTTTTTGTGGCTTAGCTGGAAAAAAGGGAAACTATAGTGTGACCTTTTTTCTGCACCATCATAATTCACGAAAGCTTATTGTGAGCCCAAAAAGAATCTTCTCAGGACGCCCTGGAGGTGAATGGCAGGGGGACCCAACACATACCCACCCCTGTAGAAATGCTTCACCTTTGTCAGTGGGTGAACTTTGTTGGCCATGCTCATACGAGTCACTCTACCTTTGTTAACTGCAGTATTTGATCATTGCAAGCCCTGGCTCACACACATCCAAAAGAAGCCTCAGACCTTCTTGTGATCTTGGGATACATGATCTCAGCATCATACACGAGCCTAATAGTAGTGGTAGTCTCTTAAAGCTATGCAAAGGACGGCATTGTAGACACTGATTTTTACAACAATAGCAACACTTGAGTTGGAATTTTTCTTTCAACAGCCTATCCAATAAAATATGTTCATATTGAACCTAAGTCAACTTCCCATAATATCAAGAGGCAATCCAGGCAATCTTTATCTCAGCCCCTCTCCGTATACTCTTTGACGTGACATTATTTCTTAATCACCTTCAGCCATTGGTAAATACACTGCTTTCTCCAAATCAAACAGAAATCTCCGTGTTCTCCAGCTACCGAGTCAGGTCAGCGGAGGTAAGTGAGGAAGGAAACATTATGATGTATGCCACGAGGCAGTACATCATGACCCTCACCCCGGCTTCCAAGAAAGCAAATCAAATAACCAGAAATGGTGTCGAGTTCATCGCAGAATGGATTTCAAGGGCCCAGTTATCAGTTTTGTCATTCGCCAAACTCACTGGAGTGGAGCCGCTGTGGGCTGCGCAAACACAGAGTTCCCTTCTGTGCAATGACTCCGTTCTCTACGCTGTATGCTTGGCATTTTAAAGGAATTCTGCACATAGCAGACCTCTGATAAAATGACATGAACAACTTAAGAGGACTTCTCTTCCCTGAAGAAGGCAATTGACATTAGGAAAAGGAAAAAAAGCAGAGAACCAAAAACTTCTTTTTTTTTTTTTTTGGTTTTGTTGTTGTTGTGTTTTGAAACAGGGTCTCTCTGTGTAGTTTTGGTGCCTGTCCTGGATCTCGCTCTGTAGACCAGCCTGGCCTCGAACTCACAGAGATTCACCTGGCTCTGCCTCCTGAGTGCTGGGGTTAAAGGCGTGCGCCACCACCGCCCAGCGAGAACCAAAAACTTCTGCTTTGAGATCTCCAATGCAGAGAAAACTAGAATAAGAATCCTTGTGGATTCCTGATCCTTAAGTCCAAACTCCCTCCACATGGTCTGACCTCACACAATGCACATTTATCTCACTACTTGTCATCTACCATCCCCACCCTGCAGGGCTTCCTCAACCACTCTTACCCCCTCCAATCACCCCACCACCCTCTTACCCCCTCCTGTCACCCCACCACCAGGACACACTTACCCCTGCCTGAATGCCTTTACCCGTTGTTTTCTGTCCACCTGGGATCCTTCGAACATTCATGAATCCATAAACAGATACACCTGAAAGTGTTGCACATTTACCCTGAGCATTTCTAGGTTTGGCCTTGCCCATGCCATGATTCCTAGTGTTCCTTTCTCCGCTACCACAGTAACCTCTGCTTCACTGGACACTGAAATATCATTTGCTAGAATTACCGAAGAAAGCTTGACTAAATTACAAGAAACTTTCTTTCTCTTTTCAACTATGCTTGGTAAGCAAGGGAGCTTTTTACTCCAAGAGACAATTTCACCAGCATATTTTTAATAGGTCTGGGTTCTTATTGTGATTAGACACATATTTGGGGGCATTTCTGACCATGCAATCCAGTGGTCTTACACATAATTGCATTGCTATATAATTGTCACCACCCTCTATTTCCAAGAATTTTCCACCCTCACAAACTAAAATGTGAACCCATTGAACAGTTACTCCACACTCCTCCCAGCTCCTGGCCCACTTTCCTACTGCTTAGCAGTGGAATTGAGTGCCCTGGGGAGCTCACATAAAAGGATTCATACCATGTTTGCCCTTTTGTCCGGCTGATTTCACTTCATATGTCTTCAGGGTTTATCCATATTGTAGCAGATGTCAGAATTTCATTTCTTAAGCCTAAATAATATCCCAATACATAGGAATACCATTCTGAATATTCATTCATCTGCCACAGTTGAGTGGCTCTTACCTTTTGCCTGTTGTGAATATGATTACTGGGAATGATAGTGTATGAACATCCATTCCAGTCCCTGATTTCAGTTCTAAGGAACTGTTGGATCATATAGTAACTCTGTGTTTCATTTTTAAAGGGCTTGGCATGCTTTTGTCAGGGTGACCGAGCTATGTTACACTTACACTAACGCATGCATACATTTTTAGATTATAGAAAGACAAAGAAATTAAAACACGCGTTCTGATTCGCTGCTACTCTATTGTTTTTTTTTATCAAGTCTTAATTTCACTCATATGTTACCAAGAGATGGTAAAAGCAAAACCTGGCCATGAATTCTGAACTTGCCTCAGAACTTTAGGCTTTGGGTTGAAGGAATATGGGGCCTGTGAGCTTCAAAAGTCTTGCATGCTTTTCATTGGTCTCCGGTTCTTCCTCTTTCTTCCTTCCTTTCCTTTCTCTTTCTTTCTTTCTTTCTTTCTTTCTTTCCTTCTCTCTCTCTCTCTCTCTCTCTCTCTCTCTCTATCTCTCTCTCTCTCTCTCTCTGTTCTTCCTTCCTTCTTTCCTTCCTCCTTTATTTTAAGAAAGCAACTTTGAGGCAAATTATCAAAAAGAGGAACTCACTTGCCCTTTGAAGCTTCTTCTCAATAACCCCCGCTTCCCATCTCCCTAGGAGTCAGACAGAATTCCCATCATTTATTAAAACAAACAAAAAAACGTTCAGAAGTTTCCACAGCAGCTTGCCATGGAGCGCTCATGAATGGGCCTTTTTAAACGCTGAAGAGAATTCTCCTTCCCTCCCCCAGCTATCTGTCACACTGATCAATCTCGCATCTGCGCACAATTCATTGAATGCAATTATAAATACTCACCACGCCGACTGTGTCCGGCTCAGCTTCGGTGCAGGAGGAGCAGGATGCTAATTAAATCACAGTTGGTGCTCAGGGTGAACTTCAGGAGCCACGTGTAGCAGAACATTAAAGCAGTGGTTCTCAACCTTCCTAGTGCTGCGACCCTCTGACACAGTTCCTCGTGTGGTGACGACCCCCCCCCCCCACAACCGTAAAATTACTTTTGCTGCTACTTTGTAACTGTAATGTTGCTACTGTTGTGAACCATAATGTAAATATCCGTGTTTTCCGATAGTCTTAGGTGACCCCTACCAAAGGGTCCGAGGGGGTCCGCCACCCACAGGTTGAGAAATGCTGCACTAAAGCTACAGAGAAGACTTTCAGCACTTCCATTTCTCATCACCTCTTCTCCAACTCACCTCTTTCATGAAGACCATGTCACAGCACACAGCTTGTAATTCTAGTCCATACTATTATTCCCCTGTTTTGTGTGGTTGCACGGTGTTGTCCCAGCTACAGTGTAAAACTTCATAGAAGGTTCCGGATAGTGTGGGTTTTTTATTCTTAGTTGTGGTATAACACAACACTCATTTGACGATCCAGAGAAAATACCCAGAGAGGTGGCACAGAAGTTCAGAGCACTGGCTGCTCTTCAAGAGGACCCAGGTTGAATTCCCAGCACCTATACGGATGCTCATAGCCATCTGTAACTCTGGTTCCTGACACCCTCTTCGGGCCTCTGCAGCAACCAAGCATGCATGTGACACACATATGTATATGCAGGGGGAAAAAATACCCATGCACATAAAATATCTGTCTAACTGTTTGATGGCTTAAAGGTCATAGTGGCTGGCATGATGGCTGCACAATAAAACATTAAGCCACAATCTCTCACTCCCTCCGTTCAAATAAATCATACTTGAGTTTCACACTTCCGTCAAGACCGGACTCGCTCAGCCCGGCGTCCGGACTCGCTCAGCCCGGCGTCCAGTCTCTGACCACCTTTTCCACGATGAAGCCAGGGCACAGGCACTAACGCCTTGTGTTCTCTTCTCCCTTCGTTCTGCTGCAGTCTTGAAGTGGCTAAGCAGATTGCACCTGTCTTGAAATCACCAAACAAGAAACCTGCGGAGGGAGAGGGGTTGACGGTGCCACCAGCAAGTCTGTGGGGAGGGCTGGTCTTCAGGGAGGAACAAGTCCTTTTTTGAGCCTGCTTTCTGCACAAGTCAAACCAGGGGAAAACAGGAAATGCCCGAGAGGATGTAACGTCAGCACTGGGTGTCCGGATGGGGACTGTACACATCTCATGGAAGTATGTTTGCCCTCATCTGGCGAGAAGCCCATCACGGGAAGTAGAAGGAATTCCACCCACAGGGGACGAGGACAAAGGTGTCCGCAGTAACAGAAGTACCATAGCGGAGACCCGAGCATTGCACCAGTACCAAGTAATTTTTCTAAGTCTCTTATAAGACGTCTGCCAGTTAATGACTGCAGGGCCTGCTTGATAAGAAAGGTCCTTTCAACTGAATATCATGCCAGCATAGTGTTAGATGATTTCCTGGAAAAAAAAACCACACGTGGCAATCTGGCTCCTAAAGTAAAATTCAGCAGATATACATCCATGTGTACACATACAAATTATATATATGTGTGTGTGTGTGTGTGTGTGTATACATATATATATAATACACACACGTAATATACACACACATGTAATATATAGTCATGGTTACAAGTCTTATAAACGCCACACTGAAACCACTTATTTTATACAGTTAATATGTACTAATGAGATATAAAAAGATTAAAGCCACACCAAGAGAATCCACCATCCTAACCACCTTTTCACATATATTCTTTGTCTTCTTGTATTAGTGGGGGAGACGTGGTGTACGTGCGGTTGTGCACGTGCCGTGGGACACCTGCGAAGGTCGGAGGACAACCTCTGTGTGTGTTCTTGCCAGGACTATGAAGTCGGTCTGACGGGCGTCCTCACTACTGCGTCAACTCTGACATTGCATAATGACTAATGATGCTGAGTCTCTCTTGGAATAGTTCTCGGATGTCTGTAAACCTTCGTAGGCCAATGTTAGTTTAAGCCTTCCATCCCTGTGCTGTTGAGTGTTTTATTCTTTGTCCTCTTACATTGTATTGGTGGGGGAGGTATGGCGTATGTGGGCTTCAGGGATCGAACCCAGATCATCAGGCTTGCGAAGCCAGCCCCTCGATACCTGAGCCGTCTCACCGTTCCTAAATTGTTTTTTGAGGTTAAAAAAAAAAAATGCGTATCTGTGATCTGTTTCACAACAATGTAATTATATTTAATACTCCTAAACTTCGTGCTTTTGAAAACAGGATGGTAATTTTCTTGTTTTGAACTTCTTTTTCTTCTTTTCTATCCACGTATACCCGTTTGCTTCTTCTAAATTCTACAAAACAATGAGTTTCATTGTGACATGTACATTGTAAAGGTTTTAACCGGAATATAATTTGCTGAATTTCACTCTGAGTCCGATCACAGCAATCTGTGCTTTTCCAGGAAATCATCCATGTAGCCAGCTGCTACTGTTTCCACACATACCAGAGATGAACGTCTCCACCTCTGGTAAGGGCAGAGAACCAGTCCCAAGCAATATGAACGTAAGTTACCCTTGAAGTTCTCAAGGACAAGGAGACACCTGAGGAGTTCTTGGTGAAGGGAACGGTAAGTCAGCCAAGATTATTTCCACGAGTCCTGTGGGATGTGTGAGGCAAGTACAAGAAGTGGGCCGTAGCCAAAGTCTCCGTGCTTTGCACCGAGATATCCAAACGTCTGTGGAATCTTATTCTCAGCTTCAAGGAGCTTGTTCCTAGCTGGGATGGCAAGACAGATAAAATGAAAAATAGTCAGTTGCACAGAACTAACCGTGAATGAGAACAGCACAGACACAAGGAATTCCTGAAGGGCAAGATGGCAAAGGGGGCCCAAGAGTCCTCCCAGAGACGCCAGGAACTAGAAGTGTTTACGAGCAAGTATGCTTGACGGGCTAGTGTCTTCCAGAAGCCATTTGCCAAGCATGCTCTGTCACTGAGCAACAGTCTCGGGGCTTCGGGCATTCCATTATAGCGACAGAAAATAGGTCAAGGCATTATAATAATAATAAATAATAATAATAAAAACTTAAGTTTGTTGGAATTGGTGGACTCTTACTAAGTGTGACATGCGGTATGTGAGGAAGCATTACTAATTCATCACCTACATCATCGCCTACATCATCAATCTTGCTACAATAACTGCATGAAATCAAACTCCCTGAATCTAGTATACAGTAAATGTCCTCAGGACTCTAGCTATTTATCATTTCTTTCGTAATGTAGACATAATTATTTCAATTGAATCTTTTCTTCTGAACTAATTTTAGACTTATGCACGTCACCAAAAATACTAATATCCTTATATCCCTCACCTTACTTCCCCTAAGGTACACAACATGGTATACTCATCAAAGACGAGAACTTAAAATCGACGCATCCTCGCTAACTACACAGCAGGCCTTCCAGATTTCAGTTTTCTAATGACGTACTTCTGTCCAACCCAGGATCTCACACTGCATTTGCCCTAACTCCTTAGTCTTCTCCTGTGTGTCCCTCGGTGTCCCCTGCTTTTTCTGACCTTGACACTTACATAATACTGCAAAGTTATTTTCTCAGATATTCCCCAAGTTTAGTTTTGCCTGTTTCCCTGTGGCTAGAACTAGCATGTGTTGGGAGAGACACACAACAGAGGTATGCCCTTCTCTGTGTTATATTGTTTTTGTTTGTTTGTTTGTTTGTTTGTTGTAGACAGAGTTTCTCTGTGTGGCCCTGGCTGCCCTGGAAGTCACTCCGTAGACCAGGCTGGTCTCGAACTCAGAGATCTGCCTGCCTCCGCCTTCCAAGTGCTGGGATTAAAGGTGTGAGCTGCTGCCACCACCACCGTCCAGCAATCGGCTCCATTTTAAAGATGAAGAGTCTAACTTCACAAACGGCTACCCAGCTAGTGAGCCGCACGTGAGAAAACAAGTTTGCCTGTGACTCTGCCATTCGCCGCCTTTGCACTGGAGCGGGACAAGAAAGCATTTAGTCGGGGATTTCGTGGCAGCCAGCGTGGGTGGCCTGGCAATGTCAAGTGACAGACAAGTTGGGGCTCTAGTCTGTGGGGATCGGGTAATTATTAAAAAGATCTTGAGCCGGGGATTAAGAATTCAAAAGCAGTGTTTGCAGGTGATTAACCTGGCCATCAATTTAAAAACTGGGCTGGAGAAGGGAAGGGTTAGTGTAGAGGAAACCAGGCAGACTCTAATGGGATGGTGTAAATATGAGATAATGGGGGCCAGATGTGCAGGTGTGGCCAAAGGAGCGGTCATGTCAGGACCAACATTTTGTTTTTGTTTTCAATTCTGGTTTTTGCGGGGGGGGGGGGGGGGGGGGGGGGGGGGTTGGTTTGTTTTAGACTGGGTTTCTCTGTGTAGCCTTGGCTGTCCTGGAACTTGCTCTGTAGACCAGGCTGGCCTCGAACTCACAGAGATCTGCCTGCCTCTGCCTCCAGAGTGCTGGGATTAAAGGCCTTAGTCACCATGCCTGGCATAATGTTAGGCTTTTTAAGAAGAAGATTAGACCTCCGACGACCCAGAATCTCTGCATTCGGGTTCAAGTATTTATATTTTGAGCATATCCCCTGGCTCACTCAGCATGTTAATTAAATGTAATCGGGTCTCAGTCATCTGTGAGAATCCGGTGTGAGGTTTACCACAAGCACTCCATTTCCTTATATAAGAGTACTTAACAGCCAGGCGGTGGTGGCGCATGCCTTTAGTCCCAGCACTCGGGAGGCAGAGCCAGGCGGATCTCTGTGGGTTCGAGGCCAGCCTGGGCTACCAAGTGAGTTCCAGGAAAGGCGCAAAGCTACACAGAGAACGAACCCTGTCTCGAAAAACAACAATAAAAAAAGAGTACATAACATTTGCACATAGAATACCCATAACCTCAATCTACTTGAAATCAACTCTGTATTCCTTAAGCTTCACCAACTAGTGTAAATGTCATTTGGGTTGTATTGTATTGTTTAGGAACCATGGCAAGAAAAATGTGTACGTGGTCCATACCGGCGAATTTTCCAAATTTTTCAAGCCACAACTACTTGAATCAATCGATGGGGCTATGGAGAACTGAGTGTAACTATAAACACAAGAAAACAGAAGGTCATAGCAGTCAGGAACTGAACCACTTCTGGTAAAGACCCAATATGTAATATTTTAGGCTCTGCAGTTTCTGTCATCAAGAGATGTTATGTAATTTAAGGGACAACGTGCAAAAATAAAATAAAAGGTGGGACTTCTTACCCAAAATTATTGAAAATATTTAACACAGGAAATCATTACACCAAGCATGAAACTTTGAGTCTGTAGACCTGCGCAGGTCACACTGGGTAGCAAGTCCCCCCTGCTGCAACTGACTGGTTCTGCCGTGATGGTGTAGAAATAGCCATAGACGAGAAAACGGCTGGGCAGGTCGTGGGCAGGATTGAGCCTAGACTGTCGTCTGCCAACCCCGCAGGCGGACCATCTGTTAGCACGTGGGCGTGTTCCCTACTGTCCAGAAAGCAAGGGGACACGCTAATAAGCAATGGGGGAAGCGGGGAGCTCTACAAAATGAGGTTGGTCATTGGCGACAGAAACCCAGCTCACAGTCTAGCTCGGTAAAGCTTTCGGTAAAAATGTCAGGGTTATGTTGTTGTTCTTCTTCTTCTTAAGACAGAGTCTCATGTAGCTCAAACTGTCCCAGATTTATTTAGTTAGTTAGTTTTGTTTTTTGAGACAGGGTTTCTCTGTGTAGCTTTGCGCCTTTCCTGGAATCTACTCTGTAGCCCAGGCTGGCCTCGAACTCACAGAGATCCGCCTGGCTCTGCCTCCCGAGTGCTGGGATGAAAGGCCGTGCACCACCACCGCCCGGCACTGTCCCAAATATATTATGCAGCCAAGGATGACCTTGAATTCTTGATCCTCCTACCTCTACCCTCCAAGTGCATCCTCCATATATGCAGGGCCATACCTGGCTGTCAAGTAAAATTTTAAAATTGATATCCATATGTAGTGCAAGAAAATGGCGGGGTGGTATCGAAGGGAGAGCGAAACAGGGACATGAGCCATCCAAAGAACCTCCCCCACTTCAGGGCCTCACCGATGCAAGCTCCAGATTTCTCTGCTGCAGACTGTCCCTTGACTTACATCGGCTTCAAAGAAGTCTGTAGCCTACTAAATTCCGTAAGGTCCTACAAAAGGACAGCTTAGGGTGTTTGCAAAAGAAATCAGATAATATATGATAGTCCAGACTGTTCTCACAGA